CCCTAAAAGGGTTTGCGCATGGGGTGTAGGGTGTGGGGTTTAGGGTTGAGGGTTTAGGGCTGAAGGCTCCGAACCTCAGGCTGCAGGCAGGTGTTCAGAGGGGGCGGGGGGTGGCCTACATGAGGGCCCCCCCTCCCTTTCTAGAGGCCTTTTCTACTAGGAAGCCTTGTAAAGATGCTCCCCCAAATGAGGTTACATTTTTGGGGGTCCCTGATTTTCGGAAACTCCCAAATGGGTCTAGGTTGCGGGAGTCGGGACTTGTTGTGTGGGTTTGGTTTAGGATTCTCGGCGTAGGGTTGAATAGGCCTCGGGGTCAAAAGTACATCGGCTTGCTAGGGTTGAGGGTTGAGGGTTTAGGGCAGTTCAGGGGTTAGGGTTTGGGAAAGTGGCCCTGGAAAAGGGCTGAGGGTTGGGGATCTCTAAATCTAAAAGCTGACCTCAAGACCAAACCTACGTCTTTGTAGGTTATCTACGAGCGTTAACTTCTTTTCCAAAGGGAGGTATATATTGCGGGTTGTTACTTGAAGGTTCATGGGCAATGAGAAGTGAGCTACAAGCAAAACCCAGCTTGCCAGCAGGCGCGCAAATTGTGGCCCTCAGCGGGCACCAATCTTTTGTGTACGGGGCGCAGCGCTCAGATTCGACGTAGGGCTTGGCGCCTAAGAGTGTGGGGTGTCGTGTTGGCTTTTGGCTCTACCTCCTATTCAAACCACCAGGCTAAAGCTCAAAACCCTGAGCCCTAAACCCTCACAAACACACAGGGGCACACGGAAACTGCCTTGAGGTTGCTTTCTCGAGCGACGGCAGCGAGATTTTGTCCTCGTCCGACGTCCTCGGCTTACGATTTACTAGGGTTTAGGGTTAGTAGACTTCGGTGGTTTTGCATGGGTTGATTTGGAGGTTGGCGAGTTGACAGTTTAAAGCTTGGGGTTTTGGGGTTTGAGGATGTTGGGATGCATCAACAAGCCACAAAAGCAGCCTAACAAATTCAACATGACACTACTCAAAGTCGAAGTTCGTTGGCAGATACCGACGGCCCGACGGGTGAGCTTAGCAGGCTCGGTTTAAGTTTTGGAGGTTCGGGGGCTCAGGGGTTCCATGGGAAAACACACAGGGTTGAGGCTTTCAGGGACCACGGGCACAAGATCCTAAATCCTAAACCCAAAATCCTAAACCCCAAACCCTACACCCTAAACCCTAAACCCTGCACCAAGGACTGCACACTGAAGGTGTGGCGCGACACGCAGTGCAAGCAGTCGATTGTGCACGCCGGGACCGTGTGGCAGGCAGGTTGCATTTGCCTGCTCGGATGACCTTAAACCCTAAACCCTAAACCCCTAAATCCTAAACCTTAAACCATCCTAAACCCTTTGTAACGAACTCCCCCGAACCGGAAAAGCTCAGATCTACATGTGCGATTGAAGGCTTGAGGGCTCAGGTTTTCGCGGGTTTTCAGGCGTTGGCATGGATGTCGTTGCTGCGTTTTGAAAAAGGCCGTGGGTCTCTGTTACAATGTGCTCTTTATAACCCTAAACCCTAAACCCTAAACCCTAATCCCTAAACCCTAAACCCTAAACCCAAACGCCGAAGGCCACCTCTCTGCCGAATGCGGACATCATCACGGCCTGCGCAGACATGTGTGTGAGGGCCAGCACCCCGGTAGTGTCTTTCGGGCGCCTTGGGGGAGAGTTTCGTTAAACCCTAAACCCTAGACCCAAGGGCTTAAGGGGTTGAGGAGGCCTTTTTCAAGGCAGCCAAAGGACCAGTGGTGCGAACGGCGTGGTCCACTCTGATGGTAAACCCCTAAACCCGAAACCCTAAACCCTAGACCCTAAACCCTAAACCCTAAACCCCGTAAACCCTCCCCCCTCAACTCCTTGAACCTGCGAGGTTTGGACTCGGGACCCCGCCCGCATGGCTCCGGAAGCCGAGCGCACGACGCAGCAGGAGCTGAGGGTTTAGGGTTTAGGGTTTAGGGTTTAGGGTTTAGGGTTTAGGGTTTAGGGTTTAGGGTTTAGGGTTTACCGCTTTGGGGTTTAATTAGGGTTTAGGGCCCTAGTTATAAATACCCCTTGAGCCTTCAAGTAGTGGGCTTAGGGCTTAGGGCCTGAGGGTTTTTCAGAGCTGCAGCTGCGGGATTCGGGGTTTAGGGTTTAGGGTTTAGGGTTTAGGGTTTAGGGTTTAGGGTTTTCCTCTTGACTTCCTGAGGGCCAATGAGAAAGGACGAAGGGGCAGAGAAGGTTCATGGGTAGTTGCAAGTAGGGTTAGAAGATGTTGTAAGTACCTTAATTAAGATGGAAATATAGGTTACCTTGCTTACAACCCTACTTAAAACTACCCATGAAGCCTTTCTTCAATCCGAAGCCCGAAAACCCAGCCCCAAACCCTAAATTGGCTGGCAGGCAACAGTGGCGGAAATCGGACCGGGAGGGCCCTAAACTCCCTAAACTATACTTCAGATCAATTAAAGTTTAGGGCCCTCCCAGTCAGATTTCCGCCGCGGTTGCCTGCCGACGTCGTAGTATACAGCACCACAGCCGAATCCCAAAACATTTAGGGTTTAGGGGGGTCTACCGTATTTGGGGGAGGGGGGGGGTAGAAAGTGACCCGAATCCTTGAAGTCCTAAACAACCCTAAGCCTCAAAACCCTAAATCCGAAGCAGCCCTGACCACTGGAGAAGCCCCACCCCTGAGACCCGAAACCCGGAACCCTAGACCCTGAACAACCCCAAACCTTCAAACCCTTAAGCCCGCAAAAAACCTAAACCCGAACCCCCTAAACCCAAACATAAAGCCTGCGCCGCAGGGCTTCACCCTAAACCCTCAATAACCCAAACCCCTCAACAGCCCGAAGCCCCAAACCTTATAGATCCTAAAACCTTAAACTTGAGATGTTCCCCCTTATACTAACAGGCCTTAATGAGGATTATGATTGGGTGTACTATATTCCCTATTAAGGACTGTTAGTATAAGGGGGAACATCCAACCTTAAACACATCCTAAACATCCTACAACCCTATCTCCTAAACCCTACCTAAGCCCTAAACCCTAAACCCTAAACCCCCCAACCCCTAACCCTAAACCCTAAGCCCTAAACCCTAAACCCTAAACCTCTAAACACTAAACCCCTAAACCCCTAAACCCCTAGACCCCTAGATAAACCCCTAAACCCCTAAACCCCACGCCCCTAAACTCACCCAGGAGATCGCACAGCAGGCGGCCGTGGCCGCGGCCCAGAAGGGGTCCTCGTCGGCGCGGCGGCCAAGAGGGTGAGGGCTTTGGGGCTTTTTTTGAGACGTTGGGGTTTTGGGTTTGGGGTTTAGGGTTTAGGGAAAGGGTTGAGTGTTTGGGGTTTTGGGTTTGGGGTTGCTTTGAGACCATCAGCGAAAGAGTAACAAAGCACGATCGGAGTTCAAAAGAAACCTAAACCCGTAGAGGTTAAGGCGAGGGTGGAGCGCCAGCGGGCGTGGGCTTATGCAGGTCGGGGCGCGCCCCTGGGTGCTGAACACCAGCGCGCCCACTCATTGAGACACCCTAAACCCTAAAGCCTGTAGGAGCTGTTCAACTGTCGGGTGGGGTCCGTCCTGGCACTATGCCTTGCAGCGATCCGCAAGCCTCACTGCTTTTCAGGTTTTGGGGTTTAGGGTTTAGGGTTTAGGGTTTAGGGTTTAGGGTTTAGGGTTTAGGGTTTAGGGTTTAGGGTTTAGGGCTACTAGGATCCAGAGTAGGCCCTTCTTCCAATTTTTTTCAGGGGTTCTGGTTCCCCTTGTCTCCCCTTTAAACCAAAAAGGTGGGCTGCTCTTGGGTCTCGGCTCGTTCCTCTATGGTGAACTCATAAAGTTTAGAAGTTTAGGGTTTAGGATTTAGGGCTCGAGCTATGCCGGTGGAACTCATACAAGTAGTACATTCTCCCTGTTTTCAGACGATTATACTGAGTAACATTGAGTTACCCTCAACCCTAACTAGACACCAAGGTTTTGCTAGAATCTCCTAAGCCCAAGTAATCTCTGAAACCCTAAACTCCTACTAAACTCCCCCCTAAACCCTAAACTCCTACGAGAGCCCCTCCCCCCCCCCCCCCCCCCCGTAAAGCCTAAACCCGAAACCCGAAACCCTAAACCCTAAACCCTCAACCCTAAACCCTAAACCCTAAACCCTAAACCCTAAACCCTAAACCCTAAGCCGAAAAGGTGCCAATGGACTCCGTCATCGACATCGCGAAGATGCCCACGATGGTCGGCAAGAAGCCCCTGGGACTTGATGTTGAGGGTTTCTAGGGTTTAGTGTTTAGGGTTTAGGGTTTAGGGTTTAGGTAGGGTCAGGGATTTAGGGTTTAGGGTCAGGGTTTCTAGGGTATAGGTTTACAGGGTTTTTGTAAGGTTTTTAGGGTTTTTCCACCCTAGTGTTCACCCCCCAGCCCCCCCGAATCAAGAAAGACGCCCCCCCAGTATCCGTGCATGACACTATGAGGTCCCCATTCCCAATTCTGGGGTGTCAATATGCTCGGGGTATTCTAAACTGTACCAAGGCCATATGGAAAAAGCCCAGACCCTAAACCCCACACCCTCAAAAAGCAATAAGCCTCAAAGCGAAACAGACCTGAACCCTAAACCCCAAACCAAAGGATTTAGGGTTTAGGGCCAAGGCCTGCCGCCAGGGAATCCCAATGCCCCCGAATGAAGGAGCATACCTCTAACGATGTCCTGCCTGTGACTTCGTGAGCGTATATTCCGTAGTTGGGGGGGCTACAATTTCACGTAGACAGTTCCCCCATGGACCCCTAAATAGTCATTCTGGTCGTTCTCGTAGGTGTTCCATAGCAACCCTTAGTACCCTGAACCCTACGTGGTACCCCTTTGGACTCAGCAAGTCTACACGGTATCCCCTAGAAACCTTAAGAAACCCATAACGCAACTTACTAGCCCTACTTAGTTCCTTACGATGTCAACAGGGCTTCCAAGTAACCCCTTAAAGAGAAACCGTTTTCATGTGTCTTAGCGATGAACCTGGCTCCTCCAGAGTCTCCAGAGTGGCTTCAGAGCTTCCAGAGAGCCCAGCTTTGTTTCATCATAGGGCTTAGGGTTTAGGGTTTAGGGTTTAGGGTTTAGGGTGTTGGGTGTAGGGTGTGGGTGCAGGGTTTAGGTTACGGCCTGTGCCTGTGGTAGCGGGCTCACTGGGTGTCAGCCGAAGTCCCCGGACCCTGAACTCTAAACCCTTCGACCACCAAACCCGCAAAGCTACTCTGTTATTCTTGAACCCTACACCCTGAACCCTGAACCTAACCCCAAAGCCCTATAAATGACAGACCCCCAGCCGGAAAGCTTGTGCAGGAATGGCGAGATCAAGATGTTCAACGACAACGGCACCGCCGCGTCCTCAGCCTTTTACGATGCTTGTCTTGACCGGGGTGGGGGGGAGGGGAGGGGGGTAAGGGGTTTGGAGGTTAAAGGCTTGAACCCTACTTGAAGGTTCATGGGTAGCAAAAAACAGTAGGGTTATAGGCACCGTAAGGTTGTATATACAGTTCGTACATGAGCTTCAAGATTATCCCCTTATGGCCCCCTTTACAGATACAATCGCAAGCGAAGTACCGAACCCAGGCGACCCTAAACCCTAAACCCTAAAAGGTCCTAAACACCAAACCCTCAGCCTTAGACTTGTAACGGCTTCTCGGCACTTAGCAAATAGAAGGCCCTACTCAGGCTTGCTACATGTAGAGTTACTAGTGAACGGTTTAGAGTTTAGGGTTTAGGGTTTAGTCCTTCTCCTTTCTTTCTGCGGACGGCCTCAGCACCGACTGCATTCCGCACTCCCGAGACGCTGAAACCCTGAGTGAGGTGTTCGCATACATGTGGAACGCCGGCGCCCGCATCTGGGACAAAGTCGGGGAAGTGATGGGCAGCCAGCAGCCCAAGGCAGGCTTGCGTTGGGTTTAGGGTTTACGGTTTAGGGTTCAGAAACTATCCCTAAACCCTGCACCCTAAACCCGGGTTCAGAGTTTACGGTTTAGGCTGTAGGTTGTCGTTGGGCGTGCGACGTCGCTTTGAGGCTATTGGGGCTTGTGGGGCCTTTAGGGTGCTTAAACCCTAAACCTTGAGATTGGGCTAAGGGGACTTAAGGCTCAAGGGTTTAGGGCCGTTCGGATTTCAGTGCGCCTACCTTCGACGGCTGTAAAGAATTAAAGATGTATATGGTTATATATATATATGTGTATATATATATATGGTCACCCCCCCCCCCCTCGACAGACCCCGGAATTGTATTTCCGATCTGTCCAGGAAGCGGGGGGGGGGGGGAAGAGCACCACTCCAAAATTCCTCGAATTTCCAAAAATCCAAAACTCCAAAAAAACCAAACCCAAGTTTCGGATTTTTGGAAACTCGAGGAATTTGCTCAAAATCCAAAAAAACCCAAAATTCCTCGAGTTTCCAAAATTCCAAAAATCCAAAAATCCCAACCCCAGTTTCGGATTTTTGGAAACTCGAGGAATTTGCTCAAAATCCAAAAAAACCCAAAATTCCTCGAGTTTCCAAAAATCCAAAAATCCAAAAATCCAAAACCCCAGTTTCGGATTTTTGGAAACTCGAGGAATTTGCTCAAAATCCAAAAAAACCCAAAATTCCTCGAGTTTCCAAATTCCTCGAGTCGAGGAATTTGCCAAAATTCCAGTTTCCAAAAATCCAAAAATCCCAACCCCAGTTTCGGATTTTTGGAAACTCGAGGAATTTTGGGTTTTTTTGGATTTTGAGCAAATTCCTCGAGTTTCCAAAAATCCGAAACTGGGGTTGGGATTTTTGGATTTTTGGATTTTGGAAACTCGAGGAATTTTGGGTTTTTTTGGATTTTGAGCAAATTCCTCGAGTTTCCAAAAATCCGAAACTGGGGTTGGGATTTTTGGATTTTTGGAAACTCGAGGAATTTTGGGTTTTTTTGGATTTTGAGCAAATTCCTCGAGTTTCCAAAAATCCGAAACTGGGGTTGGGATTTTTGGATTTTTGGAATTTTGGAAACTCGAGGAATTTTGGGTTTTTTTGGATTTTGAGCAAATTCCTCGAGTTTCCAAAAATCCGAAACTGGGGTTGGGATTTTTGGGTTTTTGGATTTTTGGAAACTCGAGGAATTTTGGGTTTTTTTGGATTTTGAGCAAATTCCTCGAGTTTCCAAAAATCCGAAACTGGGGTTGGGATTTTTGGGTTTTTGGATTTTTGGAAACTCAGGTTTTGGTGAGATTCTTTTAGGGGTTCTACACTCATGAGAAATATGAAATATATTAAAAACACAGAGAGCTATGCTAGCAACAGCTACTGGAGTTGCTTACGGAAGTGCGAGGAATAGTGCTTGATGCTGCGCTTCTGCCCACGTTAATGAGAACCCTATGATAGTTGATAGGAATCCTAATAAACTGAAGAGGACCCCTACTACAATTAATAGGAACCAATGGGACTCCTATAACGAATGTGAACCCTTAACTAATAGGAATCCTATTAAAATGATATGAGCCTAAACCAATAGGAATCCCTTTCAAATGAATCAGATCCCTATTAAAATTCATACGAATCCACATATCATGAGTAAGAGCTCTGAAATTGATATGAGTCTTATTGCAGTAGTAGGAGCTTTATCAAAATAATTAGGAACCATATGAAACTTCACTGGAATCCTATGAAAATAAGTAGGAATCTTTCGGGCTCCTACGAAATTTATCGGGGAAGCTAGTAGAAAGCCCATTAAATTGAATAGGAACCCTTAACAAATCAAAAGAACGGGAATTAATAGGACTCCTATGAAAAATAAGATTCGTTTAACAAGAATTAGTAGGACTAAATGAATATGAGCCTAAACCAATAGGAATTCCTTTCAAACGAATGAGACCTCTATCCGGTACGGATTCTTAGTTCCTGGGTTACCTCTTATTGAAATCCTTTTTGAAATATATTGAATTTCAATAAGGGCGGTACTAGGAACTAAGAATCCAAACCTATGTGTTTCTATTTTAAGACCCTTATTGAAATATTGAATTTGAATAAGGGCTGTACTAGGAACTAAGAACTCAGACCAAGAGTCCCTGGCAGTCTTAGTTCTTAGTTCTTGGTTCCGCCCTTATTGAAATTCAATATTTCAATAAGGGTTTCCATAATGACCACCCGTATTGAAGTTCAATACTTCAAGAAGGGTTTCAATAATGCCAACCCTTATTGAAATTCAATATTTCAATAAGGGTTTCAATAATGACCACCCTTGTTGATTCAATATTTCAATAAGGGTTTCAATAATGCCAACCCTTCTGGACATTCAATATTTCAATAAGGATTTTAAAATAGAAACACATAGGTTTAACAGACAACAAAAGAAAAACATACAACAACAGAGAAAAACATCAAAGGCATGAAACAAAGCAAAAAAGTATAGATCTTTGGGGAGGGGGGGTACCATATATCTCTATTGTTTGTTAACGTGTCTGGCTACTGTGTGCAGCTATGCTGTCCGTCGTGCCCTCAGCCCTTTTTTTGCTTCCGGGGGTCTGTCGAGGGGGGGGGGGGGGGGGGGGTGAGCATTATATATGCGTGTCTGTCTAAGTGGTCATGCATATATACACACGAGTTTCGCAGACTTCACATGGTATTATTTTCGTATGTGGGTATGGGGCCGAGTAGTTTCACAATCTCTTTTGAGTATCGCTTGCAGGGTTTTGGCATAAGCCGTCGTGTCAGGCGTGCTTCGGTCGGAACTTCATTTGCTCTGCTGGTCTCCGCAGACTAATTTACGGCCTTATGTTAATTGGAAGGTTTCGGCAGGTTATTGCAACATACTGGGAAGAAAGGGCTGAGATAGGTAAATGTCTAGGCGCCTACCCTGAACCTGGATGCCGCAAGAGAATCAGGAGAGTTGAGAAAAGGTACCGGTAGGCCACACAGACTAGACCACACAGACTTCATCGGAGAATGCAAACCACAAACCATAAGACATATATCCCAGATGCCCAGCCCCTGAGCCTCAATCGGTTTTTGGTTCTGGGTTCAGGGTTGCGGGTAAACCCTACTTGAAGCTTCATGGGTAGCTTTTAATGTTGTAGAGTAGGGCTAGAAGCTAGTTAGGTTGCCTTACTTCTAGCCCCTCACGAACCTTCAAGCACAGCTTAGAGGCCCAGTGCCTCAAGCCCCAGCAGAGTTGCTGAAGCCCAGCCACCGCCTCCAGAAGTACTACGACGGAGACCCGGTCTTTCCGGCGGGGGAGTGGCCGCCCTACGTTCTGGGATTCAGGGCTTTAGGATGTTTTTTGCGTTTTGGGGTTTTAGGGTTAGGGCTGCTAGTTAAGGCCCTAAACCCTAAGCCCACAACCCGAAGGCTATGATGGCTTTAGGGTTTTAGGGTTACAAGTTCAGTACTTCAGGGCTTCTAATCCAGCCCTAGACCCTGTTAACACAAAGCGGAAACATCTCCGCTAAACCCCTAACAGGAACATCCCTACGGGGAACATCCTCTCAACCCTCCCCTGCAAGGTTTGTGTAGGCGCGGGGTTTATGTCTTTAGGGTTTTAAGTTTTGGGGTCTAGGTTTAAGGCTGGAGGTTTTTAAGGTTTCCGGTTTGAGGGTTTAAGGTATTGCTGTTTTAGGTTTCAGGTTTAGGGGTTTAAGGTTTTGGGGTTTAGCGTTTTTAAGGGTTTTTTTTTGAGGGCTCCGCTTGAGGCTTCGGAGGGGTGGGCGACTGGGCCGTCTGAGAGCACGTCTCTGGCCTGCTGTATCCACCTTGAACCTCTGGAACCGGGAGCCCCGACTGGTAAACCCTAAACCCTAAACCCCTAAACCCTAAACCCTAAACCCTGAACCCTGAACCCTGAACCCTGAACCCTAAACCCCAAGCCCTGAAGTGGTTTCAACGTACGGCCACCTGCGACCTTGCTATGGCACCAGGTCTTGAAAGGCTTAGGGCCCTTGGATCTTAGGTCCTAGCATCGCGCCCAGCACCCTAAAGCCTAAGCCCCCGAGCCCTAAACGCTAAACCCTCAACCACAAGGCCTAGGCCCCAAACCTTCAACCCTAAGCCCTAAACCGTAAGCCCCACACCCTGCTTGAGTTGCCCTGCGGCCCAAAAACTCGGCCTTAGAACCAAAGCCATTCTTGCCCCTTTGACCCCAGTGTGGGTCCTTGTTCCTTGTTTGGTTTAGGGCTTAGGGTTGAGGGTTTAGGGTTACCCCTAACCCCTAACCCCTAACCCCTAAACCCTAAACCCTAAACCCTAAACCCTCAAGCAGCAAAGGGGCACCCTCAGTCCAGGGCTAGTTCCTGATGGGAAGGTACGACTTCATCTTCGACGTGGACTTAGGGGCGTCCTTCGGCACGAAGCAGCTGCCCTTCAACAAGGGGCAGGACTTCAGGGGTACACCCTGAACCCTAAACCCTAAACCGTAAGCCCTAAACCCTAAACCTTAAGGCTGTGGAGGCAGGCGGCACCTCTCCAGTTTCGCGAGAAGAGATCTAAGTGCCCGGAGCCTCATATTGAAACACCTATGCTTCTACGACTGACAGAGAAGGCAGGTCAGGTGGGTGGTCTTTTCTTAAATTACGTGGCCCCTCTCTACTGCCCCACAAGCTTTGAGGCTGCGTCGCAGAACGGGTTCCCCCAAAGGCGCCAAAAACTTCGAGAGTTTAGAGAACTGCGCTGCCTGGATGTTTTCGATGACTGGCTGCCCACCCCCTTACTGAGGCTTCCTGGTTCTTGAACCCTAAACTGTCAGTTGGGGATAAGGTAGCCTATGCCACTACAAGCATAAGTGCTTGGTAGTGTGAGTTCCAGCCCTCAACCCTCAACCCTAAATGCCTTTTTTCCGGTGTTCCTTCATAAAACCCGATGGGGGGCCTCAACCCTAAAAACCCTGAACCATCAGGGCAATGAGGACAGCTCTCTAAACTCAGGCGTCTTCTTGGGTACCCTACATATTGGGGGCTCCTTCAAAGGTGACTACACAGCTTAAGTGGCTTTTCGGGGAAATGCCCAAGCGGAGGGCTCCGAAATATGATAGGGGCTCCAAAAGTCACCATAACTTGTCAAGACCTCAAGGCTCAGGGTTTAGGGTAGCAGCGCAGGCCAGAGGGACTTGTTCTTGCCGGCAGCGCCTGAATGCCAGCTTCGATTCGGTGAAAAATCCTGAAGACCAACACCTGCTAAGCTGAAGTCCCAAAAACAAAGTTGCGGCCAACCCTCGACCGGAAACCCTAAACGCTAAACCCTAAACCCTAAACCCTAAACCCTAAACCCTAAACCCCCCAGCCTGGTCCAAAAGCACAGCTGTACTGCCAGAACCCGCTGGTGGCCGCGGAGTCCTTCTGCTCGCGCGAGCAGATCCACAAGGGCAATGCCGAGCAGATCAGGCCTGCTTTTAGGGTTTAGGGTTTAGGGTTTAGGGTTTAGGGTTTAGGGTTTAGGGTTTAGGGTTTAGGGTTTAGGGTTTAGGGGCCCTAAAGCTACTTCCCTAAACCCCGCCCAAAGAAGTTGGTGAAATATAGGCTGATCGCCTGACCTTTTCATGGAACTCCTAATAGAGCGGATGCCCCAGTTGCACTTGGAATTCTTCTTAGGGTAGTTACATGGTCCCTTGGTATGGGCCCTTAAAAGGGGACCCCTAATATACCCCTTATATACCCCTTATATACCCTATACAAGTTAAGGGCCCATACATCAGAACCCTTGAAAAGGGGTTTAGGGTCTAGGGTTTAGGGTGTAGGGTTGCTGGACCCATGAAACTACCCCAGAATTCTAGGTTGAGTACGAGACAAATAAACCCTCTATAGAGCCCTGGACAGTCAGCTCAGACTGCAACACCCTGAGCCGTCAACCGAAAGCCTGAACCCTTAGCCGTAACCGTCTAAACCCTAAACCCTAAACCCTAAACCCTAAACCCTAAACCCTAAACCCTAAACCCTAAACCCTAAACCCTAAACCCTAAACCCTAAACCCTAACCCTCAACCCTGGGCAGGCAGTTCATCATCCAAAACGCAGGGGAGGATGCTGGATCAGGTGCTGGGGATCTTGGGCTGAGTATGTTCTGGGACTCAGGGCTTGTCTCGGGTTTGGGTTCGGCTTGTCTCGGGTTAGGCTGCAGGGCGTAGGTTGTTAGGGTGTACCAGAACCCCTCCGTAGTCCTCTTCAGTTCAAAGCAAAGCTACCCAAAACGCGCATACATTGCTGCTGGGCTCAGGGTATAGAGCAAGGCTCTTGGGGCGGTATACCCTGCTTGGAGGAAGCAAGAGTCGATCCTCAAGCGGGGATACTATAGCATAACTATGTGGGGACCGTAAGGGACTACTATTGGTAGTTGCTCCGGCCCCTTTTTTGCAACATCGGAGCCTTCTTGTGGTCGTAGAAATAAGGGCCGAAAGAACTTTTTCAAGACCCGATAGAACCATTTACGAGTGAAGATAACTTTCAGCCAGGAGCAATGTTTTCCCTCTCAGCTGCAGAAACTCGTTGACTCGGTGGCTTTGCAGTTCCTGGCCTGGGCGAAGCTCCTCAGAGCTCCGCGCCTCTGCAAGAATGGGCATGAGTGGGAACCAAGACTGCCGCAGCCGAAGTGCAAGGAGAAAGCAAAGCCTCGGAAGAAGAAGCAGAGGGCCCCTGCAGACCCAGAGCTGCTCGTAGCCCTAAGCTCGAGCCCGTAGCCCTAAGCTCTAAACCCTAAGCCCTAAGCCCAGACATGGCACAGCTTTAAACCTTAGCGCCCCCACCAACATGAGGCCCAAGGAAGGCTTGGTTAAGCGCGTCATGCGGGGGATTTTCGGGTTTGGGGTTTAGGGTCTCCAGAAGAAAGAAACGAAAACAAAACTAAACCCCAAAGCTAAACCCTAAACTCCAAAAAAAACAAGCCTCTAAAGCCCCAAACCTCTATCACCCAAACCCCACCCTATGGCCTAAACCCTAAACCCTGTATCCGAAACCTAAAACCCTAAACCATAAACCCTAAACCCTCAATCCAAAACCCGAAATCCTAAACCCCTGACCCTAAACCCAAAATCCTAAACCCTCAACCCTTCACGCCTAAATCCTAAACCCTAAACCCAACATCCTAAACCCTTAACCCTTCACACCTAAATCCTGAACCCTAACCCTAAGCCCTAAATCCTAAGCCCTAAACCCCAAACCCTAAACCCTAAACCCTAAACCCTAAACCCTTCACACCTAAACCCTAAATCCTAAACCCTAAACCCCAAACCCTACATCCTAAGCACCGGAGGCGGAGGTGCCCCGGCCGCCGCGAGCCCCGCCCCGCAGCCCGCGCCGCGCCCCGGCGAGAAGCAAAGCTGGGGTTTGGGGGTCTAGAGGTTTAGGGTTTAGGGTTCAGGGTTTAGGGTTTAGGGTTTAGGATTTAGTTTTGGGGTTTTGGGGTTTGTGGTCCTTTTGGGAGTTTGGGGTGTTTTGTTTGCGGGTTTAGGGTTTTGGGAGATCTTGGGGTTTAGGGCTTTTGTTGTGGGTTTAGGGTTTAGGGTTTTTTGGGTGGTTTGGGGTTTAGGGTTTTTGTTGAGGGGTTTAGGGTTTTTTGCTGTTTTGGGGGTTTAGGGTGTGTTTTTTTTTGTGGGGGGGGGGGGGGTTAGGGTTTGGGGTCGTTTTGGGGTTTTAGGGCTTTTTTTGAGGTTTAGAGTTTAGGGCCTAGAGACTTTTTGGGGTTTATTTTGAGGGTTTGGGTTGGGGATGGGGTTAGGGTCTTTTTGGGTATTCAGTTTTTTTCTGTGGGGGGGGGGGGGGGGGTTAGGTCACGGATTTCTTGAGGTTTTGGGTTCGGTTTTTTGGGGGGTTCAGGGTTAGGGACTTTGGGGGTTAAAGGTTTTGGGTTTTTCGGGGGGGGGGGGGGGTATTTTGGGGATTTGGGTGTCTTGGGGTTTTGGCGGTTGTGCGGGTTGGGGCTGAGGGGGCTTGAGGGGTTTAGGGTTCAGGCTCAGGGTTTAGGTGTTGGGTTTTTTGGCGTTTGGCGGTTTAGGGCTTGGGGTTGTCTGGGTTTTTGGGGTTGGGCATTTGGGGGCGTAGTATATAGGGGTTTGGGGTTTAGGGGTTGGGCTTTTCGGGGTTTTGGGGATTTGGGGGTGTAGGGTTTGGGTTTACGGGCTTAGGGAAAGCGGTTAAAGGTTTGGGGTTGAGGGTTTGGGGTTTATTCGAGAGGCTTACTATCTACCGACCTTTGTCTGGGTCCCATAAAGAAGAGAGAGAGAGAGCGAGAGAGAGAGAGAGAGAGAGAGATGCACAGGCGGAGGAGGGGGCTTGCAGTGGCAGAGTTGGGACAGGGGGGGTGGCAACAGGTCGAGGTCGGAATTTCTTCAAGGTCTGACAGCCGGGGTCCGTTGTCCTCAGGAATGTCACAGGATGCATTGAAGAAGAGCTTAAGTCCGGTGATCCTCAGACTCGCACATGCCGAGCGGGACGATGGGTGCTTACGTGGAAGGAACCGGCAAGAAGAGCTACGGGAAGGGCGCACAGATCGACCTGTCGAGGGGGAGGAGAGGGCGAAGCGAACCAAGTACCCTGCAGATGGGTGGCCTTACGCAAAACGGCTCAGGCAACTGCGACTTAAGTCAAGTTATTTGGATCACCCCAGCATGGGGTTCATAGGCTACTTGCCAAGTTGCCTGAGCCTCTGAACCCAAAACTTCCATCCCTTCAACTCTGAATCCGGCTTCCAAGCCTGCTAGGTTCACGGCTTTCGGCTCAGTATGGCCTATTAGGGTTGTAGGGCATCTTGATGGGCAGAGGGCGAAACCCATCTTTCTTTGCATAGCTTCAGGGTTCGGGGGGGGGGGGGGGGGGGGGGGGTGTAGGCCAGTGTAGGGCTTAGGGTTTACGGGTTAAGGGTTTAGGGTTGAGACCTCAGAGGTCAGAGGTGTTCGTTCCGTGCCCTGACCCTAATTATCACAGACGTGGCCCCCTAAGCCCTTTCAAGCTTGAGCCAAGGTACCCCAAAGAGGCTGAGGCCAAGCTCTTTCCGGCATCTCGACTTGCGGCCCTCTAAACCCTGAATGCTAGACCCAAACCCTAAACCCAAAGCCCAAAGCCCAAAACCCTAAACCCTAAACCCTAAACCCTAAACCCGAAACCCTAAACCCTAAACCTAAACCCTAACCCCTAACCCCTAACCCCTAACCCCTAACCCCTAAACCCTTGCCCTGCATCCTTAAACCCTAGACCGCCTTAACCCTCAGTCCTATTCCCTGGTGTGAGTGGGGCGTGGAGCCTGTCAAGGTTTCAGTAAAGTGCTTGGGTTTCGGGTTCCGGGTTTAAGGTTTTAGGATTTTGGGTTTAGGGCTTTAGGGTATAGGGCTCGGCTTCCATAAGCACGTTTTTAAGCAAGAGTGTTACAGGGTGTTGGCAGGTGCAAGGGGACCCTTGAGGATTCAGGAGCTTGTACCTTGAGTGTTTCAGGGAGGGCGTCCGCGCGTAGCATGGTTAAGCATGAGGGGCTGATTGAAGGCAAGCGCACCCTAAACCCTAGACCCTAAGCCCTAGACCGTAAGCCCTAAACCCTAAACCCTAAACCCTAAACCCTAAACCCTAAACCCTAAACCCTAAACCCTAAACCCTAAACCCTAAACCCTAAACCCTAAACCCTAAACCCTACCGGACCGAGTGGGCCCTAAAACAGAAATCTCCGAGGTGATGCAGCCTGCGGTGTTCAAGGACGGAGGGGTCGCCGAACGGAGCCGACTCAAAGGCTTAGAGAACTGCGCACTGCAAGGCTCATGGGTTGTTAGATTTCGGCTCCTCAGTATCTTAATGAAGGTTAGGGTTTAGGGTTTAGGATTTAGGGTTTGGGGTTTAGGGTTTAGGGTTTAGGTTTTAGGGTCTATGGTTTAGGGTTTAGGGGTTGAGGGTTTGGGGTTTCGGGTTTCGGGTTTAGCCCTGAACCCGCAGCCCGACTCACATCGGAGGATGGCAAGTTCGAAGCCATCCAGGGAAAGATCACAGAGTTCAACGGCCAGGTACCTTCCACGAGGGCTTGACGCAGCTTAGGGTTGAGGGCTTTGTGGGCTTCAGGATTTAATGTCAAGGGAGTAAAAGAGGGGCCCTTATAAGGGACCTTCGGGGTTATTTGGGGGCTGTTTAGGGGCTACTAAGGAATAGAGGGACTATATAAGGTTTTCTACGGGTCCCTTCTGGGGGTCCCTCCTTATACCCCTTAATAATGGGTTTCTGGCTTCCTGCGGACGGTGAAGTTGCTCCGGCTTCTGGACGCCCTTAATATCATTTGGTTACAGGCCTGCCAAGTATTGCTTAGAGAGATGTCGAGAAAGGAGCCCTACCACCCAAACCATTGAAGGAATGGCTTAAGGGAAGCGCTTAACAACCCTACGCCCTATAAGCCCTTAAGACCCCCTGAAACCCCCTAGAAACCTCCGGCTCCTAAAATAAACAAACAAAAACGCCATAAAAACCTGCGAAAGTCCACGCGAAGACGAAGCTATGCTAACCCTGAAGAAGGGGCCTTTATAGGGTTGCGAAGAGTTTTCATGAGCTTTGAAAGGGTTTCAAGGTTTTTGTAGGTTTTTTTGTACAGCGCGCTTTTTTGGTTTTCAGGGGAGGGCTTTGTGGGATTCGCGTAGCTCGTCTCAAGGTTGGCAGTTGGCACAGACCGAGCCCGATTAAAGGGTTTAGGGTTTAGGGTGTAGTCGTGACGGTTTGGGGTTTAGCGGTGAGGGAAATCCTGCAAGAGCTACGTTCACTTCCCGGCTTCTTGCTGGCACAGGTTGAGGAGTCACTCAAGCTGGATGCAGTAGAGGCGGGCTGAGCACGTTGCCCAAAGCCCAACAGCAAAGAAGCGACCCCCTTCTCTGAACAAGTAGGGTTATAAGTGCCCTAATTAAGGTTATACTGTAGGTTACCTTACTTTTGCCCTACATATAACTACCCATGATAGTAAGCGTGGACAGTTTTCGGCTTGTGAGGTTTCTGTCAGCCTGAACCCTACTTGGCCCTTGTTAAGAAATTCAGAACAAGCTACCCTTACATGGGATTACACTTCATGCCATAACCCTAAACCCGAAACCCTAAGCCCCCGAATGTCTGAGTTTAAGTTCCTGAACAAAAGCCCATAAACCTCCCGCCATCCAACAGTTCACAACGCAACTTCAAAGCAAGCGCCCGCATGATTTCAGGCTTAGGGTGTAGGGTTTAGGGTTTAGGGTTTAGGGTTTAGGGTCTAGGGAACCATGTCTTTCGCTTTTTGGGTCCTTGAGCACCCTCGGCCGGTCACGGACGCCAACACCTCCAAATAGCTTGCAAGTTGGCGGGTCTAGGGTTTAGGGTTTAGGGTTTAGGGTTTAGGGTTTAGGGTTTAGGGTTTAGGGTTTAGGGCTCGCTTTTTTGGGCCAGAATTGTCAGGCAACCCAGGGTCCGCCTCAAACCCTCCTACCGAGGGCATCTGGGGTTCAGGGCTTAGGGTTCTTAAGTTCTTAAGGGTTTAGGGTTTAGGGTTTAGGGTTTAGGGTTTAGGGTTTAGGGTTTAGGGTTTAGGGTTTGGGATTTAGGGTTTGGGGTTTAGGATTTAGGGTTTGGGGTTTAGGTTTTGGGGTTTAGGGCCTTATGCTACCAGTCCTTAATTGAGACTATGCTAGGGGGTACTATAATCCCTATTAAGGACCGTTAGGAAAAGGGGGAATAATCCCAAGGTTAGGGTGATGCCGATCAGGGCTTGGGTTTGGGGTTTGGGGCTTTGGGTTTTGAGAGGCGCTTGTAGGTTTTAGGGTTTAGGGCCCTAAGCCCGAAATCCCTCATACAGGGGTCGGAAAAATCACAAACATTCGTATCCCCTTCTGGTCCCTACATGGTTATACCAGAATGACCCCCAACACTCTATTCTCATCATTGCGGCCCCATATATGCCCTAAGTCCCTAAACCCTAAGTCCCCAAACCCCTACTATAAGCCCTCTTAAAGCTTTCTGCCAGCTCGCCCACTTCGCGGAGGGCGTCTCGAAGTTGAAGCTCGGCCTTAGGGTTCAGGGGAGGGTTTAGGGTTTAGGGTTTAGGGCTTAGGGTTTAGGGTTTAGGGTTTAGGGTTTAGGGTTTAGTGTTTAGGGTTTAGGGTTTAGGGTTTAGGGCTTGGGCTTGGGGCTTGGGGCTTGGGGACCCCGCCCTAGGTTCGACACATTGAAGGGCTAAACCATTCGCCGCCGGCATTAAACCCCCTGCTGTGAACTTCAGACGTCAAGCGGCCTACTTGAAGGGTCATGGGTAGTCATCAGCAGGGTTAGAAGTAAGGCAAACCTGTTATCTTCAAGTAGTCCTTCGTGGGCCTGTGGCTGCTGGGTCACTGGCCAGGCGCAAAACACGTGCCAGGAGCGTAGTTTTCGGCACATGATTCCGGGTTTAGGGTTGAGGGCTTAGATTTGGAGAGCTGTCCCTTCCGAGTATTCTTATCCACCCCAGGCCTAGAACCGGTACTCCCTTTCAAGCTTATGGGCTGTTCAGGACTTCAGCCGAATCTTGGGATATACTGGCGCTCGGAGGATTCTCGGGAGCACCACCGGAGCGGTCTCGACAGTCGCCGCGAAGGAGCTCCGTCAACTGCACCTGTGGAAGGTGCCAGCGCATGCGATGCCGGCGCGCATGACCCCAACCTCGGCCCTGGGCCTCCCGTCTCCTTCTGATTTAGGACTTCGGATTTTGGGTCTAGGACCTAGGACTTAGAACTAGGATTTAGGATTAAGGATTTAGGCTTTAGAATCATCCTCCGAGGGCCTTTTATAGCTTCCAAAGCCTCTTTAATTTAAGGGGCGTTTGGAGCTTCTCAGGGGCTTCGGGGCCTTTCAGGAGCCTTCCAAGGGCCCCCACGACCTGTTCACGACCTCATTTTGGTCGAGAATTTTCAAGACAAAAAATTCGGAGAAGCTCCTTGGCCAAAACTCGGCCCCCCTGCCCTTGAGAGGGAAAGTTTGACCTCAAAAAAGCCGCAGCTCCCCTTCAAGCCTCCCAAGGCTTCTTGGGCCTCCGAAGAATGTTTAGAGCTTTCGGGACTCTTTCTGGGGTCCTCGCTTGGGGAGGCCCCTGCAGGTCCCCGAAAGCCCAACTATGAAGTCCCCCAAAATCCCAAAGGACAAAGTTACAAAGAGGCTCGATCCGAGGAAACAACATGGGATCGGATCGACAACAAGTACATGAAAACCCTAAACCCGACCAAGGTTTGGGTGGGCGGGTCGGGAGGGATCGTGAATCTGGCGTGCACCACAACACACGTCCTGCGTGGGGGTGTGCGCGGAGCATGTGACACACCCTGGGCCCTAAATTTAAATCCTAAGCCCCCGTAGGCTCTCTCCCAGTCGCCCTGTAGCCCGAGCCCAGGAAGATGGGCGTCTCGACGCAGTTGCGCGACTGCGAGAAGGAGGCCAAGCTTCCCTACAGGGTTTAGGTTTGGGGTCTAGGGTTTAGGGTTTGGGGTCTAGGGTTTAGGGTCTGGGGTTTAGGGTTGTTTGGGGCCTCCGGTGTATTGGAGCTGGGGCTTAGGTTGGTTGAGGGAAGGATGTTTTCAAATTCTGGTTGCAATGCCATCGACAGAAGTGGTTGGTTTAGGGTGAGGGGCGTAGGGCCGCAGGGTGCGGGGCTGAGGGCCGCAGAGGATTCCATGAGCCCATACAGCCAAAATAGATCTTCGACAAGTACGTACCTTGCCACTCCCGAAACCAGGGCCCTCAGCCCCTAACCTTTAGGGCTTAAGGCTTAGGCTTTAGGGGGTCCTTGCGGAGCCTACCCGAAACACGAAGCCTTTTAACCCAAAGGACTTGGACTTCGTTCCTTCTGTTTGTTAGCAGGGCATGAGGAGATTGGATCCAATGCATCTGCTTTAGTTAGTGTGCCCAGCCAACGGTAAGCAGCCTGCGGAAATGAGTCCTACACTCCTGAACGATCTCCACGTAATTAGCCTCGTACTTCGTTGTTGTTCGTGGTGGGCGAAAGACTACAAGTTGGGTTCTTCATGGGATTGTGGCCTGGGGCGCACCCAGAAGTATTCTCGGAACTCAAGAGAAGCAAGGGGCAACACCCGAAACCTTAAGCCTCTTGCCCAGCAGAAGCGGAACACCTCAAAGGCCCAGCAACCCAAAAAACCTTGAGTACCCGAAGCTCCTTGAGATCATTGTCAAGAAGATGGGCAAGTGGCCGAACGAGAAGCTTTTTCCGGTTGTGGATCTGTGGGTCTGCAGCCCAGACATTTGCAGGGAGGCCTTTGCATCAAACATCTGTGCCGCTGTTGACAACCCAGCCGGTAAGTCCCAAGTGCCTGACTCCGGGGTTGAGGATTTTGGGCTAAGTATGTGTTTTTTAGGGCGCAGGATTTCGCAAAGGGCTGGAATCTCAAAGTCACTCTTCCACCAAGAACTTGCACTCCCCCAAGAACAACCCAGATGCCCCCTAAACCCTGAATCCGAAACCCTAAAACCACTGCCCCGTAGTGCAGTAGTAACGCTGCGCAAGTGCATCAGGAGGCTTGGGCTAAGGTTTACTTTTCAATTATCAGCCTTCTACGGGACTTCGCTGGGATCGTACGGTCGTGAACTGGCCTTACTTGTTTCTGTACTCCGTGCAGCTGGTCTCTCCTGAAAATGAGCTTCCGAAGCTGCATTCCAAAGCATGAGCTGCTCCCAAATAGTCACGTCAGTTTCGCAAACATCGGTATTGCAAAAGTCTCTTAAACCGACCTGGGCATGAACGCTGGGTAGGCTCGTGGGATTCCCCTTTCTTGGCTTAAGTTGAAGAGGCTTAGCTTTATCTTGAGCCAACCTAAAACGGTTTCTCGCGAAACTGAATAGGACGTTTCTGAATGCAAGGAAAGGAGCCAGAAGGCTTATCGTAATACATATGCTGGGCATCTCCTAGCTGCAGATTCTGAATTTCCTAAGCCCTAAACCCTAAACCCTAAACCCTAAACCCCTGAGTTTCCTGAGCCCTTGCTGTGTTTTGCACTGGGCGGTTGCTTGCCAGCGCCTCTTC